GGGAACCGCCCCAAATCGCGACGGCCGGACAGAACATTCTATAGAAGGACTTAATTGACTTTTTTATGAAAGTTTGAGGACCTATTTGACAGTTTTCCCATTTTTAATAGGTCTCTTTCTCTTTGCTTTTTAAAATAAAAATAAAAATAGGTTTACGTTAAAAAAAATACTACGTAGGTTTATTTTAAAATTTTCTTAAATTTCCATTCAAAAAATCCTTAAGTTTTGTGTATCTAAAAAATAATTCTTTAAAATACACTCAAATTCCTTAAGTTGTGGGACAAAAAATGTCAATATTATAATAGTAGAAGGGTCAAAGTGTCACTTTTATGAAAGTCGAAAGATTAATTATGAAAAGTTTCACAAACGAGTACCAAAAGCGTCTCTAGCACAATAGTCGAGTATTAAAACTGTAAAAAATCAAAGTCAGATATCAAAAGTGGTAGTAACATATTAGTCGCATACTTGTCACGGCGGTAAGGCGAGTCGCGGCGCCAGCCGACCGCCATATCGCCTAGGCGACAAGGCGCCCGCCTAGGCGACAATTAGGCGACCAGTCACACATTATATAATATATATTATATTTCATATATATATATATATATATTTGAATGTATTTAATTTGCAATTTATTATATATTATATACTACGTATGATATATTACTAATTAAATTGTATATTACCTAGAATTGAAAGCAACAATTAATAAATGGAAAATAGGTTTATGTATGCATGTATATATAAAAAAAATCATTCGACTATGTGTACAACTTAATTAATTAAACTACTTTAGTGGGTATACTACTTAGTGCTTAATTGCATATAAAACATACGGAGCACTAATATACTACGGAGTAGAATAAGAAGTATATAGACATAAAGTGATAAGTGAAGAGCCGCTAAAATAAAAGGCTGGAGAAGAAGCGAAGGTCGTCTTCAACCTTGCGACTTAGGATCGCAGGTTGTCTTCAACCTTGCGACGCAGGATAAAGCAGCAACTGCAGGTCGTCTTCAACCTTGCGACAGAGGCACACATAAGAGAAGTAGCGTCTGTGTTTGGGAATCGTTGATTGACCTTCAAATTTTGAGAGTCGATGATTGTCCTTCGGGTTTCAGACTCTCAGAAGGCTTCAGTTCCTAAATTTCTACTTTCTAAATCATATTTTGGGCTGGGCTTCTAAAGTCGAATTTATTGAGAATTTGAGATTTTAATTTCCCCTGGCGTGCGCCTAGACTGCGCCTGGACGACATGTCGACGCCTGGACGACGCCAGGAGCGACTTATCTTCTTCTGGCGAGTCGATCTCCCATGTCGACCCTTCTCCATCGCCAGGACGCCTAGTCGGCGCCTAGGCGACGCCTAGTCGACGCCGTGACAACCATGATTAGTCGGATGAGTAAAAGTGGCAAAAACTTTTCTACATACCATCAAACTACTACTTATAAATATGACTAACACATTATAATGTTTTTATAATTTTTTACAATCTTTTTATACAATGGAGGGTTACTATGATGACTATCTATAAAAAAAATATTGCTCTTGGCTTTTTGAGTTATGAGGTATTTATCTATCTTAATTTATTTAAATCACTTCATCTAGCCCATTATATGTGATGGAGTTTAATCCAACTACGAGAGCTAAATATACGTAGAGTATAGAAATAATATCGAAATAATATGGCAGCGTAAGACGGTATTACTCTTATTCCGGAAATCGAATTACTGATAAAAAATCCTCCATTGGTAGGGTGTTTACATAAAGTGTTTATAGAGATTAGGAGGTAGAATCATGGGAGGAATCTAATACAATAAATGATTAATTAATGAACTATATTCTTGCTCGAAATAGACTCCTTTTCGTGCTTCATCCTCACGCAAGAACTATCTCCTTGTCCACGAACTCCTCTATTTCCAAATATCTATATCGAATGGTACCTTGCCACGTAGACCTCAGGAATATCCCGGCCTCATTAGAACTCCGCCTAGGCTCGAGGCCTGCTGTCCAGCCCGGCCTGTTTGTGGGTTCCTATCGTGGGCCTGATTCCCAATTGGTCCAGTGGCTCATTCGATATTACTCCCGTTTATGGGCTAATCTTGTTAATTAGGCTGATCCCGTTGAGGTCTGATCCCGTTGATGGGCTGATCCCGTTGATGGGCTTTGCTCTAATTCAATCTTGGGCCATGGCTGTGATCCATGGTTCCATCAATATGTATCTCTGGTCTTCTTTTTGAAGTATTTTATTAAATTTGTCACACATAATGGAAACTAATGTGAACATTTATCAGTGTTCTAAAAGGCGCTAATCAGGCGGTGACTGACTGCCTAGCGCCTAGCGCCTAGCCCTCTTAGGAGGGGCGTCTAAGCGCCGACTAGGGCGCCTAGGCATTTCCTCAAATTTTTTCAGTTCCTATTAATTTTAAAAATCTTTACTAATAATTTTAGATATTTTGACAATAGAAACAGCTAATTTAATCATTAAATGTTGTGGTCTGAAGCAGTGGGAGAGCCAGAAAAACAGGTCAGGGGGGTCGAAAATCAAGTATGTGCAAAATGAAAATGGTAGATCGTTTTTAGACAATGTCCGAGTTGAATATTTCATTTGTAGTTTAGATTAAAAGACATTCGTAAGCAATAAAATAGATTGTTTTTGCTCTGTTTCTAATCATGTCACGTAAGTAACGAGTTAATTATACGTTATTTATAAAATTTGGGAAAATAATCAATATTATGCATCAAATTTTGCTGATTTTACGTTTAGATAGTGCTGATTTTCCAGAAGTCATAACTTTGTACTCGTAATGAGTTACGGGGGCCATAATATATCAAATCGAAGATATTTCAGAGCTCTATACTCAAACTTTCAGCGGGGTCGGCTGACCACCCTGACCCCCCCTTGACTCCGCCCCTGGTCTGAAGTAAAGTTCTCAAAAATGAAATGATTAATAGATAAAAAAGATATTAGTGCTTTTTAATCTCTAAAATTGTTCATTTACATTCTAAAAAGTTTATATACAATTAAAAAGTATTAATCTTACAGCCAGTTAAAGGAATATAATACTTATCGATCAACCGGCGTTCTAAGAAAAAACGTAAAAAAGAAATTGGGTTGGGAACAAATTTAGTCCGGGCTGCCTAGTCACCTAGCCTGCCTAGATGGTCAACCGATTTTCTCGGCCGATTACCACGGAATAGGGGTGCCCGACCACCACCTAGCGCCTAGGCGGCGCCTAGGCTGATGTTTAGAACCACGATTTTATACTTCAGCTAGTTACTAAAATTGTAACTTTAGTGATAATGATGATGTTCAAATTTACATTATTGTAGTGACTATGATGATATAATTAAGTCACATTTTTATTCATAATAATATTTAAGAAAAAATCTATTAAAGTAAACATCCAATAAAAAAGAACTTTTTTAAAAAAATTTACAAATGCAATATATGTGTCATAGACCATAAAAAGTTATTCAATTTGATATACTTCCTCCGTTCTTTATTATCTGTCTCGCATTCCATTTTGGGACGTTTTTTATTATTTGTCTCTCTTTCTATTTTAGGAAAGTTTTTGATAAAATCCCCACTTTTTTTACTTTTACCCCTCTTACTTTTTACAAACTACTTTCTCTTTCCTACTTTATCATAACTTTATTCTACTTAATATACTCTCTTTCATACTTTATCACCACTTTACTCTTTTTAATATACTCTCTTTCCTACTTTATCATTTACTCTATACACTCTACATTTACCCTACTATTTTTCTATTAAAACCCGTGCCGAAGGCTAGCGGGACAGATAATAAAGAACGGAGGGAGTACTACTTTTGTTAAAATCGGAAAACAAATGAAAATATTATAGCATTTTATAAAAAAATAATTGTTATTACATTTTATAAATATGTTATTTGGACTTGCGATAACAAAATGTTATTTGGACCAATTTTGAGTCATCAAATGAAATAAGTAGAGGTTAACGTGTAATTAAAAAATAATACCGTATGGTGTTTATTATTCCTAATTTTAAAGAAATCAATTATACGTACTAGTAATAGTTACTTGAACAATAAGGGAGGCAAAATAGTCTACCTACGGTTACGTTAAGTAATATACTGGGGTGCGCAAAGCATCCCCTTTAAGAGATTATTGAAAAAGTGATAGTAGTAAAGGTAGATAGTGTTTGTAAATAAAAGTGATTTTAATTAAAAGGTAAAATTTTAAGTGTTTGAAAAAGGTGACTTTTGATGTAACATTTTGTTAAAGTACAAGACTACCCTTAGCATACATAATATTACTCCCTCCGTATCACATATATCTTCTCACTTCCAAAGTGGGTGAGATTAAGAATAGTGAAAGAGATATAAATTATTGAGGGTATGATGGGAAGATAGTTAAATAATGTGGTGGAATGAAGGATAAATCCAAAAAAGTAGGTGTAATAGGGTATTATTTTTTAAATTATTGAGGGTATGATGAGAAGATTTAGAAATGGGAAGATATAAATGTTACGTCCAAAAAAGGAAAGTGGAAAAATATTAATGTTACGGAGGAAGTACTAAAATAGTCAAGGCTGACTGTGAGGCGCGAGCCGCAATTTCGGCAGTCAACAGAGAAGGGAGAAAGAGAGTAGAAATAGATGCTTCTGGTGCTTCCCGGTATGGCCGGTGCTTGAGAGACCATTGGCAATTGATGAGTGATGACTATTGAAGGTTATGACCAAAGTTTTTCTTCAAAAATGGAGGAACATGGTTTTTTTCACCACTTCTTTCCACCAGGGATGTCATCAAACTTAGATTAAAGTGTCATGGCTTTGCGGAGAGGAAAAGGCAGATCTAGATGTAGTGGGGTATGTCTTTGAGAGGCCACAAAGGAGAGAAACCTTCGCCGGCGGTTGTACAAAGGTTGTGGCCTGTGGGGACGAAGGGTAGTCCAGGGATTAATCAAAATAATTAGGAATAAAAACTATCCTAAAAGTTGGATGTATTTACCAAAAACCCTATACGCAAATAAAAGCATGTATAACCCAACTTCCAACTTTCAACTTAAAGTTGCTTAAAATAAGCCGAAGGTTCAGTTTACAAACACCACTTTTGACTTTTTTAAGGCTAAAAGTAGATAAGTGTTTTTTTCAAGCGGCAAACACTGCCTTAACCAGCTACGTTCCTCTTCGCTTCTACCTTGGAAACTAACTTGCACCCAATTGATGAAGGTATCCACTGAATCATCCAGCAAACCCCACCCCAAGGAACACCAAATAGCAGCAACAACGGGCAACCTGACGAAAATATGCAACAATGATTCACACCCTTGCCCGCAAAGTCCGCACCTTACCTCACAATTCAGTCTTCTCGATTTCAAAACTTTTGACCTTCAGTAATGGGAAGAGACCCGGCAAATTTAGTTTTGCATTAAACAATGGAACCATGTGGTAATTGAAATCATGGCACAAGCAATGCTACACCATAAATAGTGTTTTGTGCCAGTAATTGGAGCTCATTTTAGTTACGTTCTACCGATGGATCTTATTTGACCACTCAATAACACTCATTGGTCACCTGTCTATACTGAAGTAGTCCATAGAGTTTTACATACAATGTAGTTCAAAATTGGTTGCTAGGTCATAGCTAATCCATGGTTAATTGTTTATAAGTCCAACAAATGTATTCGCTCACTTAAGCCATCAGTATTTTGGATTTTTTGCAATATTGATGTCAGATGTCCTTCCTATTGCAACCTTCTTTAGAAGGAATAGTGAGATTCAATTCACAATGGATATAGCTCAATTGAATATTGGTGATCCTGCTGTTTTTATCCAATGGACTTCTACACATGCACCAGTTGTCCCGAAAATTCAGATACTGATGGTTAATATTACCAGTAATCATTGCAAGAGCAAGCTCCATCTTTGATATGGTGAAATCTATTGGAATCTCTCAAAACTAATTCTCTACCTGTCGCTATTGATATGTACTTCATTGCAGTATGGCAATCCTTGCACACTCTCAGGTTCTTGAATATCCGAATGGGCTTTGGTTTGGCTGTGCTTATTAGCCCAAAAGCTACTGCTATCTTCTCGCTGTGCTGGAATAGATATTGCTCCTTATGCTCCTCCTCCACGTCATGGAGCACCAAGGTTGTGTTTGGGATGTAACCCAGTCCCTTTATTTCCACAACCAGTCGATCCAATTCGCGGTGTATCTCCTTTGCCTGTGGATGCTTAGTGTCCCCTACATAAAACTTGTTCATCTTGTTTCCGGTTTCTATCCAGCTACAGCCAGCTTCTTTCACCACTTTGCGTTCTTTCATGTCTTTCCTGATTCGTGCCACTTCTTCCCAGTTTCCAGTGGACGCATATATGTTGGACAACAGAACATGTGCTGCTGTGTCTTGTGGGTCCCACTCAAGAACCATTTTGGCCGCATGCTCTCCAAGCATCATGTTTCCATGAACCTGACAAGCTCCCAGTAATGTGCGCCAGATAATGGCACCAGGGGTGAAAGGTATGCATTTAATGAACCTTACCGCATTCTCAAGATTTCCGGATCTACCTAGAAGATCAACCATGCATGCATAATGCTCCATTCTCGGACGAATTCCATGTTCTATGGACATCAAGTTGAAATGTTTCCATCCAGAATCTACCAACCCAACATGGCTGCAAGCTAATAGAACAGCAATATATGTGACCTCGTTTGGTTTCACACCTGAGCTGACCATGTCACAGAACAACTCTAAAGCTCTCTTGGCGAAACCGTGTTTGGCAAAACCTGTTATGATTGAAGTCCAAGATATTGCGTTCCTGTTTTTGGATTCATTGAATACTTGAGAAGCAGCCTCGATGTTACCACATTTTGAATACATGGAGATCAAAGCATTGCAGACAGATTGATTAGTCTGGAACCCTGATTTTAGGAGTCGAGCATGAATTTCTTCCCCTTTACTAACTGCCCCTATACTTGCAGCAGCACTCAAGAGAGTCACAAAGGTGAAAGCATCAACTTCAACTCCAGACTCTTCAGTTTGGTTGAAAAGTTCAAAAGCTTTAGAGGAATCCAAGTTCTTGGCATATCCATCAGCAATTATGTTATAGGAAATGCAATTCTTCTCAAAGAGAAATTCAAAAGCTTTCCATGCATCATCAAACCTACTTGATTTGGCAAACATACTTATCAAAGAGTTAGTCACACAGTTCATGGCTGCAAGACCTGATTTTACAGCATGGTTATAAATCTGCTGGCCAATATCAGGGCAGGAAAGATTCCCACATGCTTTCAAAAGGCTACAAAATGTATAATGGTTTGGTTTAACACGGGTTTCAATCATCATACAGTACAAGTTAATAGCTTCTCTATCACCTCCTGTTTGTGCATATCCTGTGATGAGTGCAGTCCAAGACATGACATTATGATGAGACATTCGATCAAAAACCTTCCTTGCGTAGTCCATTGATCCATCTGTAGAGCTTTTGGAGTACATGTTAACCAAACTGCATCCGACCCACACATCCATTGACAATCCAGACTTCATGACCAAACAATGCAGCTGCTGTCCAAATGATAGCCACCCCAACCCCATATCAGCACAAGATGATAAAATGCTACTAAGAGTGAATCTATCTGGGGTGAACCCATTCAAAAGCATTTCCTCGAACAGGTGGATTGCATCCTTTGTATTACCCAATTGAGATAATCTAGCGATCAAGAGAGTCCAGCAAACAGAGTTTTTCTCAGGCATTTCTTCAAACACCTTCTGAGAGGATTCTAAGTCGCCAAGCCCTTTGGAAAATAAATCAATCACTGCACATCCCACACAAACATCAGAATCAAAATAGCCAGTTTTGACCACAAATCCAAAAATAGCCAATCCAGTACTGCCGAACCTCGCATTAGAACAAGCTTTAATAGCTGTTGAGAAGCAGAACTGGTTCGGATACTCTCCAAAACTAACCATTTCAACGAATGTTAAAACGGCCTCCCTTTCCATATTACAACGAGCATAGCACGAAATCATAACACTCCATGAAACCATGTCTCTCCGTGCACCCATTGCATCGAAAATTTCTTTTGCAGTTTCCCAGTCACCGCATTTCGCATACAAGCTTATGAGTGAGTTGAGAACAATAGTATCTGGTTCGAGTGGTGAAACCCCGAGTCTGGAGTGGATTGACTTACCCAGTTTGAAGTTACGGGTTCTGATGCAAGATTTGAGGAGGGCGGCATAGGAGGCGAGGTCCGGGGTGAAGCCCATCTGGGAAATGAGATCAAGGGTCGAAATAGCTTGGCGGATGTTGCCCCCATTGGCCTGGCGAATCAAACGGTCTTTGAGAACTTGGAAATCAGAGTTTTTCTGAAATTGAACGGAAGCTGCCTTTGGGGTAGAAAGACTTCTGGGTTTGATGGAAGGAGAAGAGCTGAGCTGTGCAGAAGCAGGAAGAGATAGACTTATCATGATTCGTAGTATTTGTCGTGAAATGAAGAGACAGACTGACTTGCTAATGCCACACCGTATGGCTAGATCCCATCCCAAACCGAATCAAATTACTCGTATATAAAATCACAGATCAATAGGATTGAACCGGAATTCGAATGTAAAAAATCGAATTGATACGTGGTTGTTTGAAATAGAGATAAGGGTCAGATAGGGCCTCGAACTTGGGAAAAAATGTCAAATAAGGCCATATTTAGGATGCTATGTCCGGCTAACGCCATTTGGGACGGTTCCCGGTGGAATTTTTTGATGAAATTTTTTGAGAATCTTATTCATTAAATCTAGTTTACCCATATCAAATTTGAACTAACAATTCAATCGGGAAGACATTCAAATGAATTCATGAAGATAACTGCGCTTTTAACTGCACAGTTATCTTCAATAATTCATTTGAATGCATTCCCGATTGAAGTTTTAGTTCAAATTTGATATGAGTAAACTAGACTTAATGAATAAGATTCTCAAAAAAATTCATCAAAAAAATCCACCGGGAACTGCCCCAAATGGCGTCGGCCGGACAGAGCATCCTAAATATGGCCTTATTTGACATTTTTTTTCAAGTTCGAGGCCCTATCTGACCCTTATCCCTTTGAAATATGATACAAAAGTCAATACCCACAATGTGAAATACTCCCTCCGTCCCAGAAAATTCTTCCAACTTCACCTTTTTGATTATTTGTGTGGTTCACATTCATTTCACCTTTTTCTTACACAACTACAACCACACATTTCCACTTTATTCCCACTTTCTTAAACTCCGATCCAAGTCAAACTTGGAAGAATTTTCTTGTACTAGAGAAATGTTGTTCGTTTTATGTTTAGTTTAGTTTATAAATTCATTTACACATTCATTACTTGTAATAATATAGTATATAGATCAATTATGTATGCATGTTGCAATTTGTTGCATCATGATGATATGTTTTTACTGGTTATTAATAGTAATTAACTTTTATATTTATGTAATTTAAAGATTTTATATTGATAAAACAATAAATTTTCATCTCAACTATATTACATAGAACATAGTCACAAACTATGTAAATTAATAATATATAAACTTTTATCTCTCTCGCATACTCATATAAACCAAACATATTTATTTTTCTCATTTTTATTTTATTTGCTCTAGTGTGCTTGCATTCTTTATGTAATATGTTTGATCCCTCTAACTATTATACGGAGTATCAATTTTAAATCAAAAGACATTTTTTTGGTAAAAAAACTAAAAAATCAAAATTGAACCGAAACAAATCGAATCAATCAAACGGTGGTCCAAGTTTTGCAGTGTAAAATCGAATCGAAACCGAATTAAAATTTTTTACTTTGATTCTATATTTGGTTTTAAGTCAAAACCAAATCCAACCCACCCACTACACGGAAAAACTTTTTTTGTAGAACAGATTGATGACATATCTCTAGTTGTTCTTCTGAATAGAAGTATAAAAATTTGTGAATGAATTTATAGAGATTAATGATAAAAGAGTCAAATAAGTCCTTCTACTATCTACTAATACAATCCATCATTTAAACCCCTATACTCAAAAAAGTATTTAAAAAATTGATTACTTTAAGTGTGCTTACTTTAAAATATTGATTAATTTAGCAATTTAATAAGTTTTTAATTTGAAATACCAGGTTTTTAATATTTAAAAAATCTAAAAAAAAATGTTAAGATATAAAGAAGTATGTATAAGAATTGTGAAAATTTTCAGAATGTCAAAGCCAATATTTTTAATTTTAAAAATATTTGTATATTCTAAATCTTTGTGAAAGGTCTTTAATTTTTTTTTTCATTTTATTTTTTCATTTTTCATTTTTAATATTTTATTTTATTTTGTTTTGTTTTTTATCTATATTTACATTTATACTATTTTTATATTATTATTACATTATTTTTTCAAATTTATATGAATTTTGTAAGATTTATCAATATTCCTAATTTAAATTTTGAAAAATAACCTGCTATAGCAAGTCAAATGACTTGATTGATTGCATTTTAAAAGTAAATATGCTATTATGATGCTTTTTAAGTAGAAGAATTTAAGTGATAGATTGAAAATAGTAGATGTGTCTATTTAATCCTTTTTCCAAGATTGATTAAGCCCTGTACATATAGAGTTGGGTTTGGGAATGAATTATAAAGGAATGATTTTACATCTTTTATTCGAATACTAAACCACCTCACCTATTTATCCAGGTTCAATTTTTATCTGAAATTTAGTGAGCATAAACTAGACATGACGAAAACATGTTAAAAAAATTTCATAAAAACCTTCTACCAAAAGGCCCCCAAATGGCCTTGGTTAGACAGTGAGTCCTGTCAAGCCGGCTTGACAGGATCGACACTCTATATATTACAAAATAAAAAATAAAAATAAAAATAGAAATAAAAATAAAAAATCTTTAAAATATAGAATAAAACGTAAATACAAAATTGAATACCTATAATATTTATATCGTAAAAAGTATTAATACTATATACATGAACAATTAAATTATAAAATACAAAAAAAGTATTATGTAGAATATCAAAGGTCTAAAATAAAGATTCAAATGTAAAAATATACATATAAATTATTTTTATGTTTTTATATTTTCGTAGTTGTAGTTCGAGTTAACCAAAAAATACAAATAAATTTTATCTATATTTTTTTACTGTATAAAACTAATTTATCTTTATTATTAGTTTTTATTTAATATGTTTTTTGAATTTATTCTTATATTGAAACTTTCGTAAAGTTTTGGAGGTGAATTGGAGTTCTATTTTGTTCAAGGACCTATTTGAACTTTTACTCTTTACATCAAATGTACAATTGGCACCAGCCAGGTAACATTGTGGGTAACCGGATGTTTACCGTAAATCGTGAAATTTGAACTTTTTTTACAAGTTTAGAATAGGAATTGATTTTTTTTAGTTGAGAAACTGAATTGAGCAAACACCAAACGTGATCGATAGATGGGCCTATTTGACCCTTTAGCCTAAAAGATTTCGTCATAATTTCAGTTAGATAAAAAAACAATCAAATGAACATCAAATGAATTGCACCAATAACAGGAGAACAAACGAAGAAATTTACAAGATTAAGAAAAAACAATCCATAGCTGTAGTATGTATTTACTATGGATGATTCAATGGAATCAACATTCATCTTATGTGTGTGGAGCAATAAATGACCTTGGAGGCATCTCTATGAGATCTTCATCTCCTTCAAGCATTTCAACAATTCTGTTCATAGGAGGACGATCGGCATACTTCATCTGTATGGACCACAAAGCAACTACGATAATCTTCTTCATAGCTTTTCTCTCTTCCTCACTACCATCTCCAGTGACTACTACTTCATTCCCTTCCATGATTTGATCATAAATCCACATGGCATCGGCGTTTGGATTCATATTGATCAATTTCCTAGCCAATTTAATTAACAGCATTCCAAAACTGTGAACAACATTATTATCCGCGTCGTCCAGGTTTGCGAGCCCAAAATATGATATTTTCGGATTGAAATTCTCATCAAGAAGAACGTTGTGAGGCATATTGACGAAATTGTCACACCCTTTATTATGAAGGTAGGCTATTGCATGTGCCACACCAAGAGAAATCTGAAACGTTTGTTTGTAACTCAAGGGGGTGGTATCCCCTTGTTCAGATAATACCCATTTTTCTAAAGACCCGTTTGGCATGAACTCATATACCAAAGCACGATTAGATCCCTCGATGCAAAATCCGATGAGATGAACCACATTCACGTGGTGAATACTTCCAATTGTAGCAACCTTATTGAGAAATTCTTTTCCTGTTCCAATGGTTTTCTTCATCATTTTAATTGCAACGAGAGGTCCACTCTTAAGTTTCCCTTTGTATACTGTTCCATTGGTTCCTTCTCCTAGTTTCTCCTTGAAACCATTAGTCATCTTCTTAATCTCAGCATAACTGTAATTTATTGGCAGCAGTTTGCTCTGAATGTCGAGGAAATCCTGAATGGTGACATCCCCTGGTAAATGACGCCTCTTTCGTTGATAGACGACTAGCACAACAAAAAGTATGATCCCAAGGAGAAATCTGATTCCCAGAAATGGTACTGGGGAGTTTAGAAAATAAAAAATAAAGTCAGTAAATAGAATTACAAAACCAAACTTGTTATCAGTTTGGTCAAGTCAAACTTTACTGAGAGATAAATTTAAGTCATTACCTATCGTTACTAGGCCATATAATATCACCAGAACTGTAAAAATATAGACAGGAGAGGGGAAAATAGAATGTTAGAAATACATATGTATCATTCAATTAAAGAACTAAGGAAGGATAAGTCTCATTATAGAGAAAAAAATTATGAAAATTATGAAAGCCACATTATTAAGAGATTAAAGGATCCGTTTGGTAATGAATTCTGATAAATTCTATTTATCAGCAAGAAATGCATATAAATAGAGTTCTGACATATGCACTACAAAAACATTTTTTTCCAGAGAAGTTTGCATATTCAATTAGTTCAATTAAATAAATAACCCTTACCAAACGGACTGGAAAATAGCAACATTCATTCTTAGCAGAAATTGGAACCAGATAAGCTTTAATTAATATTTAAAACCTACCTCCATAATAATGGATGCTACCTGCAGAAAAAAGAACAAAAGGCATTAGAAAACGACTTACACCATAAGAATTTTCTAAAGAAAATGCTGTTAAGGCTTAGTTCCATTCTATAAAGTCAAACATCAGCTGTAACTTAACATATTAGTTTATTCTTATTTTATATTTTATGAATGTGAGATGCTTAAAGATTAGGGCTTACAAGGAAGAGGAAGATCAAATCCCGTATCATCATAACAACGATGGCTGCAAGAAACACCTTCAAGATTGAGAGGATCATCAAAGAAGCACTGGCCTCCGCTGCGCTCACAATCTCGACACAAGTAAGCCCTCTTCCAAGAAAGCTCGACGCCGTAGCCCAGGGCAGCATGGATGCTGGACAGAGAACTGTTGTCGCCCGGGATCAGCCCATTAACCGAGGCCCATGCCA